GCTTGTGGCCCACCTCCAAGCTGCCCTTTCCTTGTCCCACATCCATTCTCTGACTGCGGGGTCCCATGGGCAGGGCACTCCCGGCGTAGCCCCAGGAGGGCCACTCCTCAAGGGAACTTCAGGAAGGCCTCATGGCGGGGATCCTGGCGGTGAGTCAGGCCCAGCGGCGGCTGCTGGTGAGCAGGGCCCCGCTGCCTTCCTTCAGTGCTTCCTGTCGGGCTGATGTCACCACTGTGTGGGCCTCGCGGCCTTTTATGGACAAGAATCGGCTGCAGCGCCTCTCACAGAGGAAGTGAGCAGCAGGCCCCCACCCAGGTTTGAACCTGGGATGAGATACCTGGGCTGAAATCCCTGGGCTCGGCTTCTCCTCCCGCGTGGGCTGGAAACACCTGTGGGGGGCGGGGAGTGGGGGAGTGACCTCATCACGTGGGCTCAGCCTCGGGGCATAGCGAAGTTTAAAATAAAATCTGGAGGGAAAGGCCGGGTCACTGAATGCGTAACCAAAGTCGTTCTTGTGGTTCTGGGCGTGCTCCCAGGACAGCTTTGAGATGCAGCGGGCGCGGGGCAGCCGCCCCACACTGCGGGCCTCGGGCGGGCTATTGCCTTCTGTCCTCAGAGCACCCCTCAGATCCCTGGAGGGCGGTGTGGGGGTGTGTGGGCACTGTTTGGGGAAGTGCAGGGCGGGTCTCAGGGCTCAGGAGCCAGCCGGTGGCTTCCTCTCCTCCTGACGCCCACTGGTTGTCAAACTGTGCTCTGAGGGGCCACACACCGTCCCTGCTCAGGGATCTGGGAAGATTTTATCTGAGCAAAAACTGCTGCTGCTGATTTGCTTACTTCTCCCTTTTGAAAACCTGAAATCCCTTGCAGAGCGCCTCATAGCCTGTGTGTGCCCCTGCCCCGCCGAGGTGGCAGCAGAGCAGAGCGTTCCGGTGCACTCCCAGGCCTGAAACAAACGGGTCGGGCGGATCCCGAGGCAGGGCTGATGCTGGGTGCCGGGGAAGGTCCCCACAGAATGCACAGGGTCAAGGCCAAGGGCACGCTGGCCGAGAGAGTTCCCAGCGGTCAGAAGGACTGTCGTGAGAAAAGACTTAGGCACAGCGGGATGGTGACGCCTGCCTCGTAAGGTTACTGGGTGGCCGCACAAAGGGGGCCGTGTGTGAATCACTCTGGGCAGGTGGATTAGGGGGTTAAGCGGTGGGGGCCAGAGGTGAAGAAATGAGGATGGCCCCCCATCAGTCTCCTTTCTAAAAGCCCTTGTCCAAAGGACTGTCTGTGGCCCAACAGACTGAAGCGTGCGTGCTGAGGCTATGCTGAGGGGGGACCCACTCCTCTCTGGCATTTGGAGTGAGAGGTCAGAGAGGTGGAAAAGTTGGGGTTGGTGGGCTGGCCAGGGGTTAGGTCATGAGTCTGGCTCTGGATGTGTGTGTGTGCCCATGCATGTCTGCATACACGCGTGCACCGCCTTTTTGCACGTGTGTCTACACCTGTGCACGTGTGTGCAGCTGTACATGTCTGTGTACACACGCCGTCATGCACCAGGGCACAGGCCCATGTGTTTGCATTTCTGTGTGCGCACGCCCACGTGGGTCTGCGTGTTTCTCTGCACATGTGTGTGTCCATGTGCAGCTGTGCCCAGGCGCATGTGTGGGGGCTCTGCTTCCTGTTGCGGAGCAACAGAGCCTGCGACTCCTCATGCATTAGAGGAATTCCAGCCGTCCCAGGACGGGCCCGGACAGCCCTGGGAAAACGGTGCCTTCTGCAAGGGATGGGGAATGTTGCCTTTTATGGTAGTGCCGGGCCGGCGCCGCTCACGCCTTGCCAGCAGGCGCAGGTACATTCCTGCCTGCTTGTGGAGCAGTGACTAAACTTGCCCGCAGCCCTGCAGACCGCAGGGAGCTGCACGGGGGAGGGCCAAGTGTCCCTTCCAGCCCTTATCAGTTGCTGCACTGCTGTGCTGTGTGGGAGCCAGGGATGAAAGCTGTGTGGTCATCCCCAGGCTTTGGCCCCTGCCGGCTCTTCCCATGCTCCTCCTGTCTGATCGAGGCTCTGCCCAGCTCTCACCTCCTCCTTGTTGGGCAGTGAGACAAGGCGGGGTGGGGAGCAGAGCTGCTTCCTTCGGGCTGTCGCCTGAGGGGTGGGGTGTGTGTGTGTGTGTGTGTGTGTGCGCGCGCGCGCGCGCGCGCCCGAGTTCTGCCTGCGCCCCCACCCCCCTGGTATTTCCTGGGGGGCTGGGAGGAAGGCTGCAGCTGAGGGCGCGGGCAGCAGCTGCGTGTGTGGGCTGTGAGGCTTGTTCTTTTTCTTTCTGCCCGGTCTCCCTCTTTCCCTCCCAAATGACCGGGGAGGTGGGGGCCGGTGTCCAGTCCCACATGCTAGAGAGCTCGCCCTGGGGAGAGGCAGGCGACCTCCCTGGGGCAGCACTGGCCAGACTGAACGCTAAATCCATGTCCTGGGGCTGTGCAGAAAGCTGTGAGTCACGCCGGTGCCTCACCGTGCGAGCAGGGAGCGTCCTCTACAGATGGCCACCAGCCACATCTGTGTACAGCACCGATGCCACTGTGACGGCACCACCACCACTGCCCCAACGGGCAACTTCCTGACGGTGGAGTGGAGACAGCAGCAACTAGAAGAGCCCCTTCTGCTGCCAGGGTCCCACGCCAGGCCTGCCTTGTGTCACTCAGTGCTGCATACTGAAGCCGAGACTGGCGCAGTCAATTCCTCAGCCCAGACACCACGTTAGGTCCAGGCTGCTCTGGTTCAGGCTGCATAGGAGTTCATGGGGGTGGGAGGAAAAGGGCAGCTCTTGGTTAAGACCCCGGCGCTAGCCAGGGTCCCCCAGATTCTCTTGCTGTGTTGCCGTCCACCTTAGCGTCCTCAGTGGGGGCGTCACGGCTCCCCTGCACCCCAAGGGCCGTGAGGATTTCTGTCCTTCCCTGCTGAGCAGTGCTGGGAGCTCCCGACTCGTGGGCCCAGAGAACAGGTTGTCATGGGAACTCCAGGAACTGTCCCGTAGAAGCTCCCGCTAGACTGACACCCCTGGGCACCTTCCACGTGCGGGTGGCCACGCTGGTGTGTTCACGTGAGGGCGGGGCCAGGGCTCAGAGAAGGCTGGGCCGCATCCCAGATTTTGTGCTCTGGCCTCAGGCTGTCCCGCTGCAAGGCAGGCCTGTCAGCTGCTCCTTGACGGTGCTCCCTGCCTACTGGAGGCCGCATTTAGAGCACCTGCCCCAGGCTTTACTGCACATACCGCGGCCCCCCAGGTAGACTCACAGGGCATCCCGGCCCCACTGTGCTTTGCAGTACAGTAGCTCCCGGGGAGCTTTCTGGAACTTGGCTTCATCTAAGGCGGGGAGACAGCATTCTTCCTGGTTTTAGGGGTGGGGCGGGTGGCATAGGGAGGCAGGAGCGGCTGTCTGGGGGTGCTGGCTGCCCCTCTGCGCGAGGCACACAGGCAGGTGGGGTTCTGGGTCGCAGAGGCCCAGCCACCGAGGGTTGTGCTCTGTGTCTGGGAATGGGTGGCTCTGTGTCTGGCTGATGTTAACACGGCGCCTCCTCTGTTTCAGACCGAGAAGACCAGTCCATCCTGTGCACGTAAGTGTTTGGGTGCTGGGGGGCTGCTGTGTACCCGTTCCCGAGCAGAGAATGTTCTTATCCCGTAGACTCCTAGGCCGCTGAGTTCCAGTCCCAGTTCAAGGCCCTCCTCCTCCGATTCCCAGGGGATCGGACGCAGTGCTGTGTGTTCTTACTCTGGCCCCACAGCACAGATGAGCTTGATGTCATGGCCAAAGATTCAATCAGCCTTCGTCCACAGAGCAGGTGGGGGCGGGGTTTATAGCAGAGAGGAAGCCACGCGCCCTCTCCCGCAGGGACAGCGGGCGTGGTCGGCCTCCGGGCAGCTCCCAGCAGAGTGCATCCCTCGGGGCTCTGAAGGTGCCTTCACTGCCCAGGTTGGGGCTGACGCTGGGGCCTCTCGCCTCCGCGTCTGAGCTCTGGGAGGCAGAGGATGCCGTTGCCGGAGCGGTGAGCAGGACAGAACCTGTCCGGAAGTGAAGCGTCCCCGGGCCGTGCGGAGCTGCTTCTGACCTCTAAGTCAACAGCTGCCCGGGACTGATTCCTAAAACACTGGGATGTGCAGGCTGCCAAGCGAGCAGGGCAGGCAGTGGACACAAGTTTACTTCTGTCCAGCCTCGGAGGGCCAGGGGAGTGGACAGTGAGGAGTCCAGAACTCCGCATTTACCTGGCCTTCCCGTTTTTTCTGCCAGTAGGCCTGGGGTCCCTGACGGGCACCCAGCAGAATGGCAGAAACAGTAGACAGAGGAGCACGCGGTGAGCGGGGACAGGGTCCAAGGACTTGGCCGCGGCTCACCCGGGGATTTCCTTGGTTCTTGGCAGGGGTGAGTCTGGAGCTGGCAAGACAGAAAACACCAAGAAAGTCATCCAGTATCTGGCTCACGTGGCCTCCTCACACAAGAGCAAGAAGGACCAGGTGAGCACCGGCCCTCCCTCCTGCCCGCTGCTTGCTGGGACTTCAGTGGGGTGCTTGCGGACGAGCGCTTAGTGATCATGGTTTTGGGTTTGAAAAAGGAAGCTTTGGGGAACGAAGCCGAGTGTGAGTGCTTCCATCGAGGCGGCAGCCTCGCCGCCTTGGGAGTGGTCCCTGGGCAGCAAGCCCCTCCCGCCCTTGGCCTCCTCACTCTCCAAGCTGCTATGGAAACTGGAGCCACCCCAGGGTTTGCAGAGCAGCACTCTGGGCATCAGCAGCTGACCGCTGCGTGCCCTGTACCTGTGAGGCTGGAAGAGATTCCATGACTCGGTTCTCAGATGCACAAAGACTCGAGGGGTGTCGGGCAGGCCTGTGTCTGAACCCCTGCTGTTGAAGCACCCCCGGTGGCTAGCCCCCAGCAGAGAGAAGGGGCGATTGGAAAGACATCTCACGTGCGTTTTTCTCCCTCTCCCTCTTGGTGGATTGTGGTGGAAGTCGGCAGCGTCCTGGCTAGGTGAGCTGCACGTTTGCTGCACGTCTGCACCGGGCATGTATGTGCTGCCATCGTGTGCCCTGGAACTCTGTGTTTTTTCCTGAGCGGCTTCTCACTCTACACCGTTGTCACTTTCCGCAGCTAGAACTCTTCTCGTAGGCTCAGCTCACTGACTGTGTGGGGCAGAGGGGCTGGGGGTGACGCACCGTGACCTCTCGTGCACTCTGAACGACGGCTCCCGCAGAATGAGTACGGCCCTGTCCACTGGCTGCTCTCAGAAACTGCAGTCACGCCCGGCACACCGGAGCTCTCTCATCCCGTGCAGAACCCTGTCCTCGGCACCCTCTTTCCCAGAGCTGCAGATGGAGATGGCCAGCCCTGTCACCTGCAGCTACCGTGCCAGCAGGAGGCAGTGCTGGGGAGGTGTCACTTTGGAGTTTCCCAGAGGTCGGGGGCAATCAGCCCCAAGCATGACCGTGGGGTTCGCTTTCCCTCTCTCCTCCTCTCTCTCTTCCCCTCTCCCTCTCCCTCTCCCTTAAGCACACACTTTGAAACTCCCCCGTGGCGTCCCCTGAGGCCCCGGGGGAGCCCTGCCTTACTGGCGTCCGCAAGTAAGTCGGGCCGTGTGTCTCTGCATGAAGACCTGGGGGCGTCCTGCACAGTGTCCTGCTACAGGCTCCTGGAACCGGTCCAGCAGCAACTTCCCGCGCCAGGTTCCTCCAGACTTGCCATGGGGCGTCGGGAGTTATATTTAGAAACTAATAACGTTTCTTTCTCCACCTCTCTCTCTCCCCACTCCCCATTTTCCATTCTTCCAGGAGGCCTGTTTTAAAAACAGAGCCGTGAGGGTAGGAGTTCCTCTGGCTGTGGTTTTCTATTTCTGAAATCTCAGTAAAATCCAACTGTTTATTGCATGCCTCGTATGTGACTGGTTCCCGGGAGGGTGACATTGGAATCCCTGCCCCGGAGGACAGGAGAGAGGACCACGGAGAGAGGGAAGCGAGACAGACCCGGTGCCTCGCGTCTGGGGCTGCAGCCGCAGGGAGAAAGGCAGGCGTGTGGCGGAGTGTGGAGGAGGTGACAGGGGGCAGCACTGTTCCCAGCGCGGCGTGGCGTGGCGTGGCGTGGCGGGCTCTGAGTCCGTGGCCCTGCATCCAGCTCGAGGGATGGACCCTGCCTCTGGCTTTCGATCGGTGCTGGGCTGGGCGTGAGAGGCCGTGGACCAGTTTGGTTAACGTCCTTGCCCGAGGCAGTGCCGTGATTTCCCACACGCAGCTGGCACGGGAAAGGCTTCGTGAGCTTGGTTGGCCGGTCTTGTCTTCTGGAGCCTGGTGTACACACCCCAGGAGGGAGCCCGCTCTCTTTACTGCTGGTGGTTGTGTGCCCGCCCCGAGACCTCCAGCCAGGATATCCTGAGCCTCACTTGCTGTGCAGAGGCTGCGCTTCTGTCAGGGCTGCAGCTCGCAAAGCAGCCCGTGGTGAGGGGACCGTCCAGGTGGACTTGCGTGGTCTGAGTGTAGGATCGTCCAGGCGGACTTGTGTAGTCTATAGGACCGTCTAGGTGGACTTGTGTAGTCTATAGGACCGCCTAGGCAGACTTGTGTAGTCTATAGGACCGTGCAGGCGGACTTGCGTGGTCTGAGTGTAGTACCATCCAGGTAGACTTGTGTAGTCTGAGTGTGGGACCAGCCAGGCGTACTTGTGTAGTCAGAGTGTAGGACCGTCCAGGCGGACTTGCATAGTCTGAGTGTGGGACCGTCCAGGCGGACTTGTGTAGTCTGTAGGACCGTCCAGGTGGACTTGCATGGTCTGAGTGTAGGACCGTCCAGGCGGACTTGCATAGTCTGAATGTGGGACCGTCCAGGCGGACTTGTGTAGTCTATAGGACCGTCTAGGTGGACTTGTGTAGTCTATAGGACTGTGCAGGCGGACTTGCGTGGTTTGAGTGTAGGACCGTCCAGGTGGACTTGTGTAGTCTGAGTGTAGGACCGTCCAGGCGGACTTGTGTAGTCTGAGTGTAGGACTGTCCAGGTGGACTTGCGTGGTCTGAGTGTAGGACCGTCCAGGTGGACTTGTGTAGTCTATAGGACTGTCCAGGTGGACTTGCATGGTCTGAGTGTAGGATCGTCCAGGTGGACTTGCGTAGTCTGTAGGAACATCCAGGCGGGACTTGCGTGGTCTGAGTGTGGGACCGTCCAGGTGGACTTGTGTAGTCTGAGTGTAGGACCGTCCAGGTGGACTTGCGTAGTCTGAGTGTAAGACCGTCCAGGCGGACTTGTGTAGTCTGAGTGTAGGACCGTCCAGGTGGACTTGCGTGGTCTGAGTGTAGGACCGTCCAGGTGGACTTGCGTGGTCTGAGTGTAGGACCGTCCAGGTGGACTTGCGTGGTCTGACTGTAGGACCGTCCAGGTGGACTTGCGTGGTCTGAGTGTAGGACCGTCCAGGTGGACTTGCGTGGTCTGAGTGTAGGACCGTCCAGGTGGACTTGCGTGGTCTGAGTGTAGGACCGTCCAGGTGGACTTGCGTGGTCTGAGTGTAGGACCATCCAGGTGGACTTGCGTGGTCTGAGTGTAGGACCGTCCAGGCGGACTTGCGTGGTCTGAGTGTAGGACCGTCCAGGTGGACTTGTGTAGTCTATAGGACCGTCCAGGTGGACTTGTGTAGTCTGAGTGTAGGACCGTCCAGGTGGACTTGCGTGGTCTGAGTGTAGGACCGTCCAGGTGGACTTGTGTAGTCTATAGGACTGTCCAGGTGGACTTGTGTAGTCTGTAGGACCGTCCAGGGGGACTTGCGTAGTCTATAGGACCATCCAGGTGGACTTGCGTGGTCTGAGTGTAGGACCGTCCAGGTGGACTTGCATGGTCTGAGTGTAGGACCGTCCAGGTGGACTTGCGTGGTCTGAGTGTAGGACCGTCCAGGCGGACTTGTGTAGTCTGTAGGACCGTCCAGGCGGACTTGTGTAGTCTATAGGACTGTCCAGGTGGACTTGCGTGGTCTGGGTGTGACTCAGGATGCTGCTCTATGTCTCAGGCACCAGTTGCAGCCCACTGGCAGGAATGGCACCTGGGGAAGGCCTGCACACCGATGGGTAACTCTAGACCCCAGGGGCAGGCACAGCCTACAGTGCCCATCATTTCTTACTACGCACGTGTCACTGGAAAACACGCATCCCTTGCATCCCTCCTCAGAGGTCAACAGAGCAGCCCGTGGGTCAGCCCTCGCCGCCCTCCGCAGGGAGCTCGGCTCTGGAGTCCGCGGCAGTTATCCCGAGTTGGCCTGAGGCCCCTCTTTCCACAGCAACAACTGCAGCTCCAAACACAGAGGCCTTGGCTTTGCCCCGAAGCTGGGCCGGCTGCTCCCTCCGTCTGCGGGAACGGGAGTGGCCGCCCAGCCTGGCCGCCTGGCCTGTGCTTTGAGAGGCGCGCTTCAGTGGGTGGGGGAGCTGCTCCCATCCAAAGCTGGCCCCGTGGGCTGCCTCGCTGGCTGCCCAGGCCCGCCCATGACCTGTGGGTTAGAGCCCGGCATCCAGTTACCACCAAAGGCACATGCGAGTCTGCGCCATGGTTTTCACCCCTGCCACTTGCCGTGGCCCTACTGACCCTCGCGCAGGGTACCGGAGCGCCCCCCTCACTTACCTGTGTGGTCCCCCGCCTGGGAGGAGGCCTGGCCAAGGGCTCCTGGAGGGGAGGCTCCAGCCGGCCTCTCTCTGGTCTCTGGTGGCCTCCAGGCTGCCTGGCGGGGCTCAGAGCATCCTCCGAGCTGGCAGACAGGTCCCGGCGGTGGTGGCCGTGCTGGGACTCTTGGGAGTTTTCCTTTTCCTCAGTCCTGGGCTGTTGCTGTGCCCAGAAATCCTGGCTTGACTCCAAGCATGCCAAGTGCAAGCCCCGACTGGCCACATGTGGGCGTCTGTCCCCCAGCCACTCCCGAGGAGTCCAGGTGATGCACTCCTGTGCGCCTCAGCCGGGCTGGTCAGTGCCTGCCTTACCGAGATGCCGCGGCTCGCGGCCCTGTTCCACCTGGCTTGGAGGGGCTGCTTGTGGGGCTGGGGCGGTGGGTAGAAGACTCGGATTTCACTCCTGCTTTGCTGGCTCGTACTGGATGACCCAGGGCTAGCCACCCCCACTTCAGCCTCGGCTTGTTCTGCGAAATGGGCTACTCGGTGACACCCACCTGTGTGTTTTAAGGATCCAGGGAAGCAGGCATGGGGTATATCCTGTCAGCTGAGAGATGCCGTGGTTCGCATGTAGGATTTATTGATGGCTTAGAGCCCAGCGTGGGCCTTGCTGACGCCCTGCTCAGTGCCTGTCTTGGTGGAGACAGCATGGGGGACCTCTAGGAAGATGAAGTGCTAGATCGTGCGTCTTTGTGGCTCTGTGTCTCCGTGTCCCTGTCCCATAGAAAGGAGAAAATGTGGGGCTCAGAGGCAGGGAGGCGGTGTGCACAGGCTGCAGCCCCTGTCCCAGGGAAGGGCCCTGCGTGAGCCTTGTCTTAGTCCACGTGCTGCTTTCACACACACTCCTCCAGAGCCAGCCCTGGGCCTCTGGCACGCGGTTCCTGCGGCGGGGGGCTCCCTTCTCCTGTTTTCCCTTTTAGGGCCTCTGGTTGGTCAGTCCTGGAAGTGAGTTCACAGCAGTCAAGGTTTCCTGAGGCCTGGCAGAAGAGGCCTGCTTGAGTGATGCCGGGGCCTGGCCCAGGCTGCAGCCTGCCCGGAAGCCTCCATCGCTGGCATGTCGGATGCACAGACGTGGCTCTGCCACTGTGTCCACCGGGCATGGCAGCCCAGGCCCCTCGCTGGCCCTCACTGGGTCTCTGGGTTCCTTTGCAGGGTGAGCTGGAGCGGCAGCTGCTGCAGGCCAACCCCATCCTGGAGGCCTTCGGGAATGCCAAGACCGTGAAGAACGACAACTCCTCGCGATTTGTGAGTAGCGGGCGGCAGTGTCCTGGCTCCGGGGACAGACAGGGCCTCATCCAGAGCTTTGGCACACGTGGCCGCCACTCCAGGTGTCTCACCTTCAACCTGAGGCCGGTTCCAGCCTGGTGGTGCCTGGGCCTGTTACGTGGAGTAGTCTGGATTGGGTTCCGGTCAGTGTGGCCTTGTCTTGCTCCCCCTAGGAGGGTGGAGCCTCCTTCATAGAAGGCAGAAGAGAGCCACCGTGAAGGATCATGGCGTGCCGCCGTGACCGGTCAGAACCCGAGGTTGCACTGAGCGGTGGGGAGCACTCCAGATGGCTGGGGAGCCAGCTCCTCCCTGGAGGAGTTTGGGCGTAGATTGGGCTAGGCCGGGCTCCTGTGTTCAGGCCCGTGGTGGCCTGGAGCCCTGAACACCATGCAGCAGGGGCACATGGGAGCCCTGGCCTGGCTCACGGGCACACACAGACTCTGGGCTTTGTCCCCGAGCTGTACCAGCTGGAGGTCCAGACAGGGGCAGGAGGCTCCGGCTGTCTCCTTGGTCCCTCACTGGGTAAGGCAGGGGGCCTCTGACCTCTCCATCCCTCTTTCCTCAGGGCAAGTTCATTCGCATCAACTTTGATGTCAATGGCTACATCGTGGGTGCCAACATTGAGACTTGTATCCTTGTGGCTCGCCGGTGTGAGGGTCCTGGGTCTGGATGGGAGGAGGTGACCTCAGAGAGCAGCGGCTGTGCCCCTTTATGGGCCTCTTGTGACACCTGCCCTGTGGGGTCAGGAAGACTCCCGGATGAACTCCCGGAGAACTCGGCGTGGGCTCAGGACGTTCGTTACCTGCAGGACAAAGTCGGACCTAGGACGGGCCAGACCCGTGGCTTGCACACGGTGGCCTTGGGTCCGCCCTGGCTCGTCCCTGCCTGCAGGAGTGTTGCCGCCCTGGCTCGTGAGAGCACTATCACCGCGTACTCCTCAGGGGCCCTTGAAGGAGACAAGGCTCCCAGACGCCCCCACCCCAGGGTGGAGCCGAGGTAGCTCGCCGTGCTTGGCCTTGCCATTTTGTGCAGATTCAGTTCCTCTTGAGGGGACTGAGAGGAAACCAGGGAGGTTCCTTAACGTCGGCCAAGATCTCTTGGAAAAGTCCCGCGCTATCCGTCAAGCCAAGGAAGAACGGACCTTCCACATCTTCTACTACCTCCTGTCTGGGGCCGGAGAGCACCTCAAGAGTGAGTGGGCCGCCCACGGCGCTGGGCTCCTGCCGGGGTTGGGATGCACTCGCCATGTAAGCCAGGAAAACTTTGGCCTTGGAGTTGGGGCGGGGAAATGAGTGACTTGTGTTTTGCACACCATCCTAACGGCTGGGTCTTCTGTGTCCGACCACGCAGGGAAGCACAAGGGCTTGTCGCACGTGTAGATGCGCCCCACGGGGCCCGGATGCCCTCCTGTGCCCCTCGGGTGTCGGCCTCACCGCCGAGGCCGGTTGGCATGGCAGCTGCTCTGCGGTTCCCAGGGCTTCAGTGGGTTCAGGGGCTGTCGCCCAGACTTCCAAACCTCTGAGATCAGCCGGGGCCTCACTGAGCCGCCCTTGTCCTCCCCATCTCGCAGCTGACCTTCTGCTGGAGCCGTACAACAAATACCGCTTCCTGTCCAACGGGCATGTCACCATCCCCGGGCAGCAGGACAAGGACATGTTCCAGGAGACCATGGAGGCCATGAGGATTATGGGCATCCCGGAGGAGGAGCAGATGGGTACGGGCCGGCCCAGGGGAGGAGGGCAGGAGGGGAGGGGAGGCAGGGCCCCGCACCCTCAGGCAGTGGGGCAGAGTGCCTGTGTGTTCTGAGCAAGCCTGGAGTGCGTGGGAACCTGGTGCCTCAGATGCGAGCGCCCGGCTCACTTGGAAGTTGCCGGAGCCCCAGAGGGGAACACAGGATGAGTGTTGGACGGCCCGGGCCTGGGTGTGCTGCTGCAGCCCTGGCTTTTGCTGATGCTGGCCTGTCCATTCATGCTCAATCTCACCAGAGTGTGGGGGAGGCTTGGGATAGGCTCTGTGTGTTGGTGAAACCCAGAATTAAGAGCAGCAGGGGCAGGCCCCTGGGGTCTCGGCTCCTTGGAGGAAGGGGAAGAGGGCCCTGCATCCCTGGCCTGGGACATTAGTCATAGAAGGATGGGGCGGTGAGGGAGTGTGCCGTGTCTACTCTGAGGCACAGTGCTTGTCACAGAAGAGCGGGGCCACAGACAAGATGTAAATGAATGGGCATGGCCGTGTTCCAATAAAACTTTATTTGTGGCTGGCGCAGCGGCTCACTAGGCTAATCCTCTGCCTTGCGGCGCCGGCACACCGGGTTCTAGTCCCGGTCGGGGCACCGGGTTCTGTCCCGGTTGCCCCTCTTCCAGGCCAGCTCTCTGCTGTGGCCAGGGAGTGCAGTGGAGGATGGCCCAGGTGCTTGGGCCCTGCACCCCATGGGAGACCAGGATAAGTACCTGGCTCCTGCCGTCGGATCAGCGCAGTGCGCCGGCCATGGAGGCCATTGGAGGGTGAACCAACAGCAAAGGAAGACCTTTCTCTCTGTCTCTCTCTCTCACTGTCCACTCTGCCTGTAAAACAACAACAACAACAACAACCTTTATTTGTACAAGCAGACAGCAGGCCCCTTGGTCCAGATTCAGAAGTGTTGGGAGGGTCACCAGAGCACATGTCTGGGTACAGGGCTGTGGGGTGATGGCAGGGAGGGGTGAGTCCACCTCTTGTCATTGGGTCAGAGCTGGTGCCCCGTGGTTCCAGGGTCTTGTTCAGGGTCCCTGGTGAGTGACCCACTCGGGGTGGGGAGGGCTTACCCCCTTGCCTGCCTCTGAGCCGCCTCTGCTCGCACCCCAAGGCTTGCTGCGGGTCATCTCCGGGGTCCTTCAGCTCGGCAACATCGTCTTCAAGAAGGAGCGGAACACTGACCAGGCGTCCATGCCGGACAACACAGGTCGGGGCGGGGGTTTGCCGGGAGGAAGTTCCAGACCTGGGTCTCCTGTCACTCCAGCTTCTGTGCAGTGCACAGTGCACACAAACACGACCCTGCTTTTGTCTCAGAATCAGCATCAGACTGAGTTAGAAAAACCTAGGATTGTTTGGGCCAAGACGGCCCCCAACAGTTCCCGAGACTGGTCTGGGTCGCTAAAACAGTGATTTCTGCTAGGGCGCCCCCGCAACACGGGCCTTGCCTGTGAGCGCCATGTGTCGTGACGGCACCCGACTCAGCCACTGCCGTTCCTAGTCCCTGCAGATGCATTTCAATTCCTCAGCCCACATGTGGCCTCTCAGAGTCTAAAAAATTAAACACGTGGGTGTAAGGATGGTAAAAGATAGCTCTCTGGTCCTGGGGTGGGCCTGCCTCCCATCAGCCCTGCTGGGGGTGGAGACCCCGTACTCCCAAGCTGTGGCTGAGGGGCCGGAGAGCGCCTTCCTCCCTGCCCCCTGGGGCCCCGTGGCCTGCTCGGGTTCAGTTGTCCGGTGATGCTGGCTCAGTTACCACCGCACCCCTCTGCCTCGGCTCCCAGGAAGGGGGGGATTGTCCCTTGGGTCTAATTACAACTCTGTGCCCCTCCCCTTCTTACTCTCTGAAAAATTAGCTGCCCAAAAGGTGTCCCACCTCTTGGGGATCAATGTGACCGACTTCACCAGAGGAATCCTCACGCCGCGCATCAAGGTGGGCCGGGATTACGTCCAGAAGGCACAGACGAAAGAGCAGGTGAGTCTCCTGCAGCCGGGGCGGCTGGGCGGCTGGGCCGCGGCTTGGGGCCCGCCCTGGGCCGTCAGCAGTGGGAGACCCGCTCAGCTCCGTTCCTCCCGTCCTGCTGTTCCTTCGTTTCTGGCTTTCTTATCGCGCCAAGGCCTGTCCTGGTAGGCACTTCCACGTGTATTCCTTACCCAGTCCTTGTCGCACCCCAGAGAGCAAGGTGGCACTAGTCCCTTTCCAGCTGGAGGAAGCTGGCCCCAGAGAAGCCGAGTGACGTGCTCCAGGCCTCAGGCCTAGGGGCCGCCATCCGTTCGTGCCCTGTGCCTCTGCCCGTCCCGCCAGCGTGCATTTAGACTGAGGGGGTTGCAGAGGACGTCGGCGCATCCTCTGGTATCAGCAAGAACTTGATGTTTCCATAGCACGACGCCTGCTGGTGCCAGGGTGGCGGCATCCGTCATCCTCCAGGCCCGTGCCAGGCGGCTTTCTGCCCACCACCTGCTGCCTTGCTGCGTGTGGTGAGAGATGAGCAAGGGTTTCCTCACTTGTGCCAGACCAGTGTGCCTGCCTCCTAGAGCAAGGTCCTCCCAGGCCTGGCCACTTCCCCTTCCCTGTGGGGGGCTTCTGGTTCCTGTCGGGAGGCTGCCAGCGGGGGATTTTTAAGGTGCCAGTGCCATCTCTCGAGTGCTTTGAGGAGCCTAGCGATCGGTCCCTGCTGCCTCCGTCACCCCGGGTGCTGACAGCTGCCGTGCCGGGGGCCATTACCCCGAGGACAGTCGGCCAAAGGCAGCGAGCGTGGTCGCTGCCCACTGCTCGTCTCCCTCCCGGTCGAGGCAGAGCCTTTGTTTTTTCCATCACGAAAGTACCGCGCACACTTAAGGGAATACAGGAAAGCTGAGCGAGGAGAAAGATCACCCTTGTTCTAGGCAGGGAGGAGGACTGTGGGCAGCCGGCTTCGGCGGGCTTCTCTGCTTCTTGCTTTTTTAATTCGGTGGGGCTCTGGCTTCATTACGGAACCGTTCAAACAGCAGCCCCCGGCCCGCCCCTCACGTTTTCACTTCTGATGTGGAGTCTTCCCTAATCTTAGCAACCTGAGCCGAGCCGCGTCCTTTTGGAGTGACTCTCAGAGCGCCTACCGCTTTTTCTGCAAATGCTGATATGTGTTCACGCTCTCCTCACAGGGCCTTTGCAA